GAGTTCACATGAAGTAACTGACTTGATAGTAATTTAATACAGAAACCATAGGAGATGAATATATCCAGTGTTTCCAAGCAGTGCAGAGGAGAGGGGGTGGAGGTCCGGCTCGTCCTTGGAAGGTCACTGGGCATGGATGGCGGGTTGTAGGGCCACCAACCTGGGATGAAGGCTCAGCTCTGCCCTGAACTAGCTGTATGTTTTGAGAAAGTTTCTTTCCTCTGAAACTTCAGATTTCCCCACCCAAAGTAGGGACAATAATCTGTCTTGCTGGCCCACCACACTCATTGTGAGGATCAAGACACAGAAATGTGTTGGGCTGGCTAAGGAGAAGTCTTTCTTTCCATCACCCTGCTCAGCTTTCATCTTTCACACTGCTGGCCCTTTGCTTGGCACCTTAGGTTTTGCTTCATCTCTTAGTCCTCAAGTTCCCCCCTTTCATTGTTCACTCTCCAATCACTTCAACTATGTCTTGCCTGATAGATACTTCCATTTGGAAACCCCAATGGTCCAACAAATTCACCATGGCCAGAATAGGGTCCTATCTTTTCCTTTGTACTACTTATGTCTTGCCCTAATATTCTAGGTCCCTAGTCCAGCAAAAGACACAGCTAGCCACTAATTCCTCTAAGCTTGGATCTACTAGTTATGTTTGTCCCTTCTCTCTTCCTTCATACAGAACGATTTCTGTACATTTAAATACAGAACCGTTTCTCAATAATGTCTTCTTTTTACCCCTGTTACCACTTCCCCAGGGTAGACACACTCTCTTCCTTACTGGTCCCTTACCTCCAGTTCCTCTCCTTGTGCTTTCCCCACCGTCTAACACAAATGTCACCTATATCACTTCTGAGGGAGTGATCAAGTCCAAGGTCCTTAACCCTCATAGTCTAATCTCTGAGCACAACCTGATGGGAGTTCCTTTAGCTTGGAAGGTGGAAGCCATTCTTCCTCTTCTCAAGCTGGCCACATCAATGCCATTTTTCCATGGCTGGCTCATCGAACACCCTGCCCGATACTGTTCTTGTGACCTCTCTTCGTGCACTCATAACCCTTTCTTATTCTTTTAAAGAAACATTAACAAAATTCAATAAACAAGTTATTGCCTTAGCTATTTCAGAATATAGACTCCATGGCATTGAGCACACTCGCCATATTTTTGAACATCCATCCTCTGCCATCCACCCCCGAAACCTTTTCATCTTCTTCAAATGAAACAATGTCCTGTTAAAGATGAACTCCCCACCCAGACTCTGGACCCACTATTCTACTACTGTCTTTATGGGTTGGATGACTCCAGGTCCCTCATAGCAGAATCATAGAGGATTTGTCCCTGTTTCACTTAATATGATTTTTTTTTCTCAAAGTTTTATCCGTGTTGTAATATGTCCCAGAATTTCCTTTTCTTTCATGGCTGGATAACATTCGTATATATCACATTTATTCATTCATCTATTGATGGGCTGCTTCCACTTTTGGGCTGTACAACATCTCCTTGAGGTTTTGCTTTCAATTCTTTCGGGTATGTATCAAGAAGTGGAACTGCTAGATCATACCACAAACTGATTTTGTGTGTGTGTGTGTGTGTGTGTGTGTGTGTGTGTGTGCATGCTTGTACAAACACGCATGCATGTGTGTATGCTAGTTATCTGTTAAAAACGGAAACTCAAAAGAATTGGGAGACAGGTTGCCTTTTTTCTCTTCCCTCCTTTCCCCCCACAAGTAGCTTCACTCTAGAAGTTCTCTGAAAAATTCTGAGTCCTAGGAGCTGATAAATAATTTTCTGGGGCTGAGTGGATAGGAGGCAGGCTTGGCAAAGGGAAAGCTCTACTTTGGGTACATCATTATTTGAAAATGAGGCGCATGCTAGAATGGAGGTTCTCCATTTCTCCCCCTCAAAGTTCCATCAGGTTAGAGCATCAGATTGAATGGTGTTCGGTGTCGTAACAGCCTTCTTCCCTGCCTGGGCACCTTTGCTTCAGTAAACAGCTTGAATCTCAATGGCTAACCTGAAGCCTGCTGGACTAGGAGATCAGAGCCCAAGATAGCACCCAGGTTCTGTTAAATGCCCCAGTGCCCTTCGTTGTAGTTTCATTTCTCTGGAGCTCCCCCATGTGGCCAATATGGGAATTGGTGTCTTCTGTAAGTAACTTACCTCCTTTCAGTCTCAGCATACTTAAACTGGGCACCTTCCTAGGAAGAGATGGAAAGTCCCTGCGTTTTGAGTAGAAAGGTTTGTAGGAAATCTGGATAGCCAGGTTGATGGTTTTCTGTATATGAGGAAGTGCTTTGAAGGACATATAGGAAACCAGAGGACAGAGCCCTGTCAGGGAGGGGAGGCGAGCTGTAAGGAGGAAATTATGTTGGAGGTGGAGATTCTAAGAGCAACCAGATGCCCCATGGTACTCAGCAGAATTCTCTGAGGACCCAGGAGGTGCCAGGTGGAGCTGGAGGGGAATGGCACTGGTATAAACTGGCTCAGTGGGGATGGGCGGGTGGGGGTGCAGGAAGGAAGGAGTGCAAGGAGGGAGAACTTTCTACACAGCAAGCCAAGAATATTTGAGGGGGAGGAAGCCAAGTTCCTTGTTAGCAGACAGAAATCCTGGAAGGCTGCGGCTGGAGGACTGTCTGCCTCCACATGGCTTCCATTCCTTCTGTTTTGAAATCACTGACCCTGCAGTCAAATAGTCCACTCAAGAGCACACACAGAAGGGACAGATGTTCACTCTTCCTCCTGATTTGTGTCTCTTGGACTGTCTCTCCAAAGCAAGCTTCCCTGCAGGTGCTGGCCCCCACCCCACAGGCAGGCTGCAGCCTTCTTCTGATAACATAGTAAAAGTTTTGTGTCTATTACTAAACGACATGCGGTGTACAATTTGTACAGTTAACAGAGTTCCCAAATCCACATATAAACACTGGGTCTGGCACCTCTGCTCCAATCCCATCCAGGTAGCTGCAAATTCCTTGGGATGTGATCTTTTTTTATGTGTGTGGCCATGATTATTACTCTAAGATTCCAAGGCAGGGAGTTTATTACCTACATTGCCTGAGCCCTCATTCTGTGCTGTAAGGATACAGATTGGCTCTGCCCCCAAGGAGCCCCTGGCCAGATGAAGGGAGAGGGTGAGGGGGTGGGCAGTGAGTGCAAGCAGAGAACATATGAGAGGAAGTCAAAAAACCAAGAACCACAGGCTGGAAATCCAAAGAGAAAAGGCAGAACAGTCCAGGACTTGGTGGGGAAAGGCTGGCTATTCTGGGCCTGGGGAATGCAGCAAAGAAAGGATGATGTCAGCAGCTGGGTGGTCTAAGCAAAGGTATGTAGGACAAGGCAGGAATGGGAAACCATGGCCTCGCTGGGCTGGAACACAGCAGAGGTGAAGTCCAATAGAAGCAGAAGGAGGAGCTTAGAGAACGCTGGGACCTGCTAAATCATTTTTGTTGGAGAAACACACTTTAGGTCTATTATAGATCTGATGCCCTGGTATGCGTATAGAAACTACACTAGAAGGTAGGCTAAGGAGGAGATGTGATCTGTCCAGACACAGTTGACCGAGATGCAGATGGTGTCACATATCTGAACGAGGGCAGTGGAGATGATGGGGAAGAAGTTGGCAGTGGGGTGTTAGCTATCACCAAGCTGGGAGAAAACTGCTTTCCATTGGACCTGGTTTTCCAGACAGGAAGTGCCACACAAGAGACGCAGAGGTCTTGATGGGTTCCAGGAAGTCACTTCAAGGTGTCAGTCATCAGGAATGGAATGGGTGGAGATGAAATGGGCCTGGGGCAAGTTCTGTCTTGAAGTGGCTGGGGCAAGGCTGAGGCTGGGCTCAGTGACCTCAGGAGGACAGTTCATTGGTTTGGAACCACCCACAGAGCTTGTGGACATAAGAGTGCCAGGCCCACCTTCAGTCTCAACTTAGTAGTAGGTCTGCAGTGGGGCCTGAGCTCTTCAGATAACAGAAAACAGGGTTTCCTGGCTGTTGATTTCCTGTAAAGGGGTGTGGAGCTTGGTAACACAGGGAACTATGAAAGCCCTCACTAGGCACAGAGGAAATGTAGTCGGTCTGCTGGGAGCTTAAGGTCTGTCCAGAAGACTCCTCTGGTCTATTTGTAATTAACCTGTCTCATCTTTCAGGTCACTGTTTTCATGACTGTTCTACTTCAGTGTCTACCTGGACCACATTCACAGGTAGCCCTGGTCTCTTGCCTAGGACACCTGTACTTTTCCTTTGGGGCTGAACTCAGCCTTGTTCCATCTAAGCTGGGCCTTCTCTTTCTGTGCTGAGCTCTGACTTCTTTCCAGGCATTCCATTGAGCTTTCATTTCCAATCTACTTCTATGTCACTACATGGGCCTCTCTGCTCTCCCAGGCTCCATAGAGGGTGGCCAGGAGCATTTCCTTTGTTTCTGTCCTCCATGAGCACACTGCCAATTGTGTAAACTATTACATGTCTCTCAGGCACATAGAGTAAAGCTCACTCCCTTGTATCCGTCTTCACCTTGTTGTTTGCAGCTTCCTACCCCAAACTAGCCTGTTGCCTTTGAATTGAAGCCAACCATGAGAGCAAGAAACACCATGATTTCATGTACTGCTGAGAAACACAACATGCTGCTAATTAAACTAGGCCCAGCTGTTGAATTCTTCAGCCTGAAATGTCAACCAAGAGTCTGGATCTGCTGGCCATTTCCTTATTCTTCGAGGTTTATCTCAATGCACCACCTGCCCTGCCAAAGCTGGACCACTTCCTTGGGGATTCATACCATTCATCCTAAGTGAGAACATCATCTCATGTCTGGTATTACAGAGGCTCAACACCAGGTCAACACCACTGCCTAAGACAGTGTCTTACTTACATTTGTATCTCACTTGCCTGAGGGCCTAGCTGGGTTGGTCTCTCCTCAGTGAAAGCTAATAATTCAGTAACGTGAGCTGCATGGCTTGCATACATTCCCTTTAGTCTCCCCACCCACCTCCCTACCCTTGGACAAACACAAAGAAGAAAATTAGAATTCTTTAATATTATTCCATTTCCATTAGTCTGAGAAGAAACCAGGTTCTATAAGCTGAATATGATGAGAAAATAGAAAAAGCTGAAATGTTAAAAACTGCTACTCTTTGGAAGTGAGCCTGAAGCGTTCTGTCAAAACTCCATGGAGAGGAAAGAGGCTCTTCTCTCTGGCTCAGGGTCTCCTAGCTTGATGGTGACCACTAAGCAGGAGCGAAGTTTCCATGTACGTCACATTGCTGGGTCAGATCACCATCTTACTCTAACAAGGATGACAGGATGCTATTGATAAAGGAAATGTCTTCTGGGGAAAAAAAGTAGGCAGGTATTATAACTGTCCCTTGAAAGCACAGTAGGAGGTGAAAAACTAGGGTTGTCATTCCCCTCAGGGATTAATGGGGATTATATTCATTTATGCTGTGATCACAAAACATCTACATTGGAAATCTCAGTCATGTGTCTATCACTTCTGCTTTGCTTCCAGGTTATTGGTAAGGTGTAGTCCCTTGAACAGAGCCTAATGGCTTCCACTCTCATATTGGTCTGCATGGAAAGAATCTGGTACCCCAGCCTTCATCAGCAAATGGGCCTCGTGGATCATGTAAAAGGCCACTGGGACGAAACGGGTGACTTCAGGATGGTCTTTGTGGGAAGGAATGTGCGGGAGTACAGGGGGACAAAGAGAGCACAAAGCACAATAGGAAGCTTCCTGTTTCAAGAAACAGGAATCCAGTGCCTGCTGTTCTTCTCACTCCCCCAGTCATGGAAGGGACAGGACACGCTTCCCTCTAACTAGTCAGAGGGTTGTAATCTCAGAAGAAAGCTGATGGAAGGAGATTAATTAGTTCATCAGTGACAGGTGAGCACAGGCAGTGGCCTGGCTGCTCTCCCGGGTGCCTCACTTGACCTTCCGCAGGTGATGGAAACTCTGCACAGTCCTTTCCACGGCCTCATCCAGGGTGACCACAGGCTGGTAGCCAATGACCTTTTTAGCTTTCTCACAGCTGTAGTAGTGGAATGTGCCTGCCAGTGCGACCCGCATCGGTGTGAAAGTGGGGTGGAGCTGGATGACAGGACTGAGCACCATCACCAAAAGAGACAGCAGGAGGGCCAGGTAGTAGGCCACCCAATAGGGGACGTGATACTTGGGAGCCTCATAGTTGAGGCCTGTGAGGATACGAGACAGGAACGTCCAGAATGGGATGGGTTCATCGTTGGTGATGTGAAATGCCTGGTGAAGGAACAAGAAGTTAGAATCCTCTGCCCTGCAGCCGGGGCCCCCTAAGCTCAGCCACACTCGGCAGCTCAATTCATAACTCCTATTGTGGGAAAACAGCTCATTCCGTGTCAGTCACAGCTCTTTGTCAGAACAGCTGAACAATGAGGTGAATGAATATGAGACCTCCCCATGTACTTAGATGCTATAGTGTATGACACAGTCTGCCTTCAAGTCTGCAAATGGACAGCATTCAGGCGTGGGGAGGGAAGGCAAAGAAAGCTAGATGTATGATTGCAGGATTATAAGTGAACTTGGAAAGGTTATGTTTGTTAATTTCATTATTGCTCATGGTAAAACTGATCTCATGTCCATATCACATTCCCCAAAGACGCTATGCTTATTCTAGAGCAAGCCACACTAACCCTATTCCTATTCCTATTGTGGGAAAACAGCACACATTCAGAATAAAAGAAGACTGAAAATAGAGGGATTCCAAATACAAGAGTGAGAAACAAGAGAAAACAGGAAAGCCTGGGGTCAGGGGACTAAGCAGCTTTATCAATTGCTGCTCTACATGCTGCACACAAAAGTCCAAGAGATTCACATCTGTCGCCCAATGGAGGGGGGTGACAGCAGTGTGAGCATGTGTGACCCAAGACAAAAATAGACACTGGAGGGTGAAGTCGGAGAAACAGTGAGGAGTACATACCCTGCCCAATGGATATGGGATCCAGCTTGGGGTGCTTACACTGACAGGCTCCACTGAGAACAGTATCCTGAGTCTTTGGGCAAACCCAGCTCATTGGCTCTGGCATTTTGGTTATCCCAAGATATGTGATATATGATAATACAGAACTCCCAACTTGAGGGCCTCCATTGAGGCCAATGGGGGCCTTAAAGTGCCGGGAGAAGCAGGTGCCTTACCTTCCCGCCCAGGGTTGTATCGTGGGAGAGGCGCTCTGCAGCCAGGATGTGTCCATGAACCACATTCTCCACAAAGGTGAAGTCCACCAAGTTCTCCCCGTTTCTGTAGATGTACAAGGAATGGCTCAGTGAGAATGGGAGTAATTGGCTGCGAGCACAGCAGAGCTCCTGGACATGGGCATTTCCGAGACTGCCATCTACAGCACAAGTACTTTGAGAGTGCTCCCCACGGCCCATCTGGATGCCTGTAACAGATGAGGGCCCTAGAACAGGAGTTCTAGGGCCAACAATGACTGTGGAAGCTTAGTGTCCTTGCCTACATCATTCCAGCATGACCAGCACCAAAGGGAAAAAAATAAACGGAAAGGAGGAGGAACAAAAGAGATGGAGGAAAAAGACATGTTTGGGAGACAGTCACACTTACTGTCAGCTCTAGGGCCCATGGCCATCTGTTCTCCTTGGGAAGGACTGTAACATCTTAAATTTCCTTCTAAGACGATGCAAACAGTCAGGGCCTTAATCCTTGACTCTAAGCCAATTGTTACCCCTCTGAGGCTCACTTTCCTTACTTTCCAAACATGAATAGAAAGGTTTTTCCCAGCCTGCCTGAGAGGATACACAGATACAAGGAAATAGTGTCCTTCCAAAACTTATGTCCCTCTGGAGCCTATGAATGTGACCCTAGGTGGAAATGGAGCCTTGCACATTTAATTAGCTAAGGTCATTATGGAGCAGGATGAGCCTAAATCCAATGACTGATGGCTTTATAAGAGGAAAATTTAGACAAAGAAATGAAAGATGACAGCCATATGAAAACGGTAACCGAGTGAGGAGTGATGGATGTACTGACAAGCAAGGAGCATGAAAGATTGATGGCCATCACCAGAAGCTTAGATAGGCCTAGAACACATTCTTTCACACAGCTGATAGAACGAACCTTTCCAACATCTGCATTGTGGATCTCTCTGGCTTCCATAACTGAGAAATTCAATTTCTATTTTTTTGGCCAGTCCTGGGGCTTGAACTCAGAGCCTGGGCGCTGTCCCTGAGCCTCTCTGTGCTCAAGGCTAGCACTCTACCCCTTGTGCCATAGCACCACTTCTGGCTTTTTCTGTGTATATAGTACTGAGGAATCAAACCCAGGGCTTCGTGTATGCTAGGCAAGCACTCTACCACCAAACCACATTCCCAGCCCACAATTTCTATTGTTTTAAGTATTATGTTTGTGGTAATTTATTATGGCAGCCTGAGAAAATGAATATATAGGTAAGAGGTTACTCAATGTGTGTCCCCTCAAGGTCAGCATGTTGGAACCTAATCTCAACTGTGTTGGTATTAAGAGGTGGGGACTCTGATGCTGACTAGGCCATGAGAGCGCTGCCCTCATGAATGTGATCAGTGCCGTTATAAAAGAGGCTTGAGTGAGCCTGCTTTTCTGGTGCCATGTGAGGATACACAATAGGGAACTCTATGCAGAACAGACTCTTACCTGACAGCAGACTTGTTGATGCAGTGCTTTCAGAGTTCTTGGCCTTCAGCACAGTGAGCAATTACATTTCTGCTATTGGTTAAGGTATTTTGCTCCAGCAGCCTGAATAGTCTAAGACACTAACACCATTCACAAAGTGTTCTCTGCATGTGTGTTCACCTGGATCAGGGAGTGCTGGAGAAGAAATGGGGCCTACTTACCCAATCATGAATTTCATCTTGCCCTTCTTTGCTGCCTCAACGAGGATGGGGACCAGCTGAGGATCCCTTGGACCAAAAATGCCATGAGGTCGGATGGCTATGGTTAAGAAATTCTTCTCAGGATCATTGGCATCTAACACTGCCTGAAAAAGAAAACAGAAGAAGATGTCCACTGTGAACTCTCAGCCTGAGTCAAGATGGCACATCGCTGGGTGGGCAGCACATGGGACACACACAGGCAATGTGGTCTGCATGTATATAGGCTACCAGGCTTCCTGGTTATCTGCCTTGGGATAACTCACAGTAGCCACTGGTACAAACAGGATGAAACAGGAGACTGCTAGATAAAACCCAGCAAGACTACATTGAAAGCCTAGATTTGGATTCAAAGGCTAGAATGTACAGATGCATCCAGCAGATGGACCATGGCAGCAGTCTGTGGAAAACATGTGAGCATTCCTGTTCATGAGTCAGCCATGAGCCTCAAGTGAGGCGGCCACCATCCAAAGGACTCCTGACTTAAGTGACATGTGCTGGCTGCACATCTCCCCCAGGCTCAGGCTGCTCAATCCATACTGATTGTACTGCCTTGTAGGAGAGGACTCACACAAACCAAAGTGGGCTCAGAAGATGCGTCTGAGAGGGCTGAGGGTGTGAAGTTCATGGCCTGGGAGAAACAGGGCAACAGCAGGTCACCAAAAGACATGAGCTGCAAATACTCTAGAGGAGGCAGCTGTTCTTTCTGTCACCATTGCAGAGAGGGAGAGAGGGGTGGGAGGGAGAGAGGGAGAGAGAGAAAGAGAGAGAGAGACAGAGAGAGGGAGGGAGAGAGAGAGAGGGAGGGAGAGAGAGAGAGGGAGAGGGAGAGGGAGAGGGAGAGAAAAAGAGAGAGAGACAGAGAATGAATGAATGCATTCTGTGAGGTTGTATGGAATGCTAGAACACAAGGGCACAATCATCATGCATCACATAATACTTTAGTCAACAACAGATACATATAGCATAGCATGGTGGTCCCTTAGGAATATATTATCTAGGCTGGGTGTCAGTGGCTCAGGCCTGTAATCCTAGCTACTCAGGAGGCTGAGATCTGAGGATCGTGGTTCAAAAGTCAGCCTAGGAAGGAAAGTCTGTGAGACTCCAATAAACCACTAGAAAACTGGAAGTGGCGCTGTGGCTCAAGCTAAAGAGCTGAGGGACAGTGTTCAGGCCGAGTTCAGGCCCCACAACTAACAAAAAAGAAAGAAAGAAATGTATCATTGAGGATGATCTTAGTTTGTCTAAGTGCATGATGTTTCCACAGTGTCAGAAATCAACTTACAGTGCATTCCTCAGAAGCTGTGCGCACTGTTCTGTTCAGGGACACAGGGCTATACAGAGCAATGGGTTTTGTGTCTAAAGAAAGACAACTTCCTGAAGCATTTGTTCCATGCTCGGTTAAAACAGGGATTATAATGACTTCTAGCTGAATACCATAAAGCCCATGCCAGTGAGACTGATGCCATCTGCCTGGAGCTGCTGAGCCCTGGTGAGTTCAGCTGTGGGTGGGAGTCCCAGCACCCCAAGCGGAGAGTTTATAGTTTTTCTAGGGTAACTAAAGTTGTTTCAGGGCCCACAAAAGGCTTTGGAATGAGAGCTAGGTGAGAGTGCCATGGCACATGTAGGCACAGTCTAGATGCAGGATGTCAGCTTCCCAAAGGGCACTCTTGCACCTCTTGCTTTGGGAAGACTCTCAAGTCCCCCGACATAGATTCTGCTGTGACTTTGTGAGCTGAAAGTAACTGAACAGTTGTGAGTTACGAGAGTGTCCAGCAGCATAGGTGGCCTAGTATTGGTTCTGTATCAAGCTCCATTTCAGTAAGTACTCATTTGGCAAGCAAAGCTCAGTGGGAGCGATATACTGCAAACGTTGAGGAGAGGTACTTAGTGAAGGCCAACTGTCTGCAGTTCAGGAGCAGCCAGTGTCTTCAGGTTATGATGAACTGAGGGACAGGTTATGATGGACATAAAGAACTTTCCTGGACCCCTGGTAGCCTCAACCAAGATTGCTGGTGAAGCTAGCTACGTGAAAATCAGGTGCCCCTGGGTGAAGTCTCTTGATCCCAATGTAAATCAGTGTCCTCATATGTAATCTGACAATAGTAATAGTGCCCTAACAGGACCCTTGTGAGGCTTAAAGGAGACAATCCACAGAAAATTCAATACTCTTAGGCTGCATTAAGCTATTCTATTCTTTTTTTTTTTTGGTTGGTCCTGGGGCCTGAACTCTGGGCCTGGGCGCTGTCCCTCAGCTCTTCGGCTCAAGGCTAGCGCTGTATCACTTGAGCCACAGCGCCACTTCTGGCTTTTTTTTCTTTTTGCTTATGTGGTGCTGGGGAATCGAACCCAGGGCCTCATGCATGCAAGACAAGCACTCTACCACTGAGCCAGTTTCCCAGCCCCTCTATTCTTATTTTTAAATTCCATTTTACCCACATATCTTACTTTCAAGGTTTGTCATTTGGGCCTCAGAATACTAACTTCCTATGAACATATGTTCATATGCATTTTTCTTAGAAATGTAAACCCTTCAGCTGTCCACTCACTCGACCAGTTCAGAATACGTACTTTCTCCTGTAAGATCTTAGTCTCTGTGTAGTAATCAATGGGCTTCATGGCATAAGGCAGGTCTTCAGTTCCATTTTTGATATCGGTGCCCTCAAAGATGACACTGGCACTGCTGGTTAAAATGAGTTTCTGGCAGAGGAAGATTTAAAGGAAAACATGTCAGGAATAATTACAATGCCAACAGCTCAGGGGTCATGGATGAGCAGGAGTGAAACGGCACCTCTTTCCTAGTCCCACCCTTCTTTCCCAGCCCCACTCACGAAGCACTCTGCACAAGTCAGTAGTCAGAGCACATTTCATATCTTCTAAAGTGAATTCACCGGTCAATACTCTCACATCTATGCAGGTTCCAAACATTATTATAGCATTACAATCTAAAACAATGAATTTCATGGTTTTATTCTCATCGCCATAAACTTCTAGGGAGATGTCTATCTGTAATAGTTCATTGGTTAAGCCAGGTACTGGTGGTTCACCCCTGCAATCCTAGCTACTCAGGAGGCTGAGATTTGAGGATCATGGTCCAAATCCAGCCTGGGCAGAAAAGTCCCCATGAGACTCAGGCTGGAAGTGATGCTGTGGCTCAGGTGGTAGAACGCTAGCCTTGAGCACACAGAGGCTCAGGGACAGCACCCAGGCTCAACCCCAGAACCAGCAAACAAAAACAAAAAAAAAAAAAACCCGTTCACTGGTTAGTCTGATATTAACCTTGCATGTAAACACACAGGTACAAACACATGTAAATACACAGGTACAAACACATGTAAATATATGCATATGTGCCCGCATGTAACTTTAGAAATGCTTTCCAAGCACGGCACTTGCCTAGCACCTATGAAGCCCTGAACTCAATCCCCTGAAGCACTATCCAAAAAGAAAACAAAATTGAAAGAAAAGAAGAAAGCTATTACAGCCCTCAGCTTTTGGTTAAGAGTAGCTCATCCAACACTAAACACCATCAGATAACATCACATCTTTACCACTTTTATTCAAGATTCTTCTAGAAATCCTAGCCAGAGTGGTGGGATAAGATAAACACAGAATTGTAACAATTTGAAAAGAAGAAATCAAAGTGCTATCATTCCCAGACGATAAAAATATCTACACATAGGCAAACATATAAAAAATACTAGAATGGAGCAAATTTATGGAATTCAAATTCAGTATGCAAAAATTAACCATGTGCTTAAACATACAGAAAACAGAGTTCAGCAAAGTTATGGAATCCAAATTCAATATGCAAAAATTAACCATATTCTTACATTTTAGCAATGATCGAAAATGTAATATAATAACCAGTCTTAAACATTAGCCATAGTTAAACATGTAGTTTAAAATAAAGTATCAAAAATGAGATACACAGGCATAAATGCAATGAAAGGCATGCAAAACCTTTATGAAATACAATATAAAACTCCACTGAAAGGCATTAATTAGAGAGCTATCTCATACAGATAGCAAGACTCAGTATTTGGAAGATTATGAAGTCTGTGTGAAATTACCTAGTTCAGTACAATTACAACAATCCCAATTGAGCCCCAGTGGCTCACACCGACAGTCCTAGCCATTTAGGAGATCTGTAATCACCACATACTGAGCCCCATGCTGAGACTTGGACTTTCTGGTAAAGGCACATGTAGAGGCCAGTGTTACTGAAGGGAGAGCCCAGGAAGAGGCTCAGGCAGGACAAGAATACCTATGACAAGCTGCTTATAGTACGTAGCAGCTTCTTACTGTACTGATGGAAGCCCAGAAGACTTCTTTGGCTGCCTGTTCTTGCTGGGCCAGTGGATAATAAATATGCTTGCAACTAGAAGAATACTCACAAGGAGCAAAGCCCCCAGATCCCTGCAAATTTTGCTCCTAGTTACCCTGCCTTGTGGCACACACCACTGTCAGGGAGCTGTTACACTCAGTGGTGGGAGTGCTGTCAAGGCCAGCTGAGGACCAGAATTTCTAACAGTGCAGCAAGCTACCATCCGGTGGGAATGCATATCACCCCAGGCCCGAATCATGCATTTCTATTTGCTATAAGCAAACACAGTATTTTTCCTCCTCCACACTTACTATCTAGGTGCTCTACTACTGAGCCACACCTACAGCCCCATTTGTCACTGGTTCCTTTTGAGATAGGGTCTGGACTGCAAACCACCTATTTTAGGCTTCCTATCTTAGCTGAGATGACAGGCATATGCTGTTATATCTAGCTTCCCTCTGCTGAGATGGATGGAGTCTTGTGGACTTTTCTGTCTGGGCTAGAACCTTGATCCTCCCAATCTCAGCTTCTTACGTAGGTTTGGATGACAGCTGAATGCCATTGTACCCAGCTATGGGTTACAAATGAGTCTTGGAAACTTTCTTCCACGTTGGCCTCAAACTATGATCTTCCTGTTCTCAGCTGCTCAAATACCTAGGATTATAGGTGTGAGCCACCAGCACCTAATAATGTTTTTCTCTTTTAAAACATAAGGAGGGGGATGGGGTGGGGATGGGGGGAAATGGGAAGGGTTGGGAAGGGGAAACAAAGGAGGAGGCAACAATGCTTGATAAGAAATGTACTCATTACCTTGCTCATGTAATTGTAACCCCTCTGTATGGTATTTTCACAATTTAAAAAAATGTCAAAAAATAAAAATAAAAAAATAAAACATAAGGAAAGCTTGGGAAATGGAGCTGTGGCTCAAGTGGTAGAGTGCTAGTCTTGAGCAAAAAAGCTCAAGGACAGTGCCCAGGCCCTTGAGTTCAAGCCCTAGGACCAGATGGCACGTGTGCACGTGCACACACACACACACACACACACACACACACACACGCACGCACGCACGCACATGCACATGCACATGCACGTAAAGCCTGGAAAACAATGTGCTGGGTCATCAAAAGGTTAAACAGAGAATTACTCTATGGCCAAGCTCAGGAATCTCACTTCTGGGTATAGACTTAAAAGAATTGAACACAGGGACTGGGACAGGTATTTGCACACCCATGTTCACAGTAACATTATTCGTAACAGCCTAAAGGTTAAAGGAAGACAGGTGTTCACTGATGGATGAAGGAAAATGAAGAAACGTCATTCCTCAAAAGGGAAATTCTGACACATGCTACATCATGGATGAGCTTTGAAGACATTACACTAAGTGAAATGAGACTCACAAAAGGACAAATATTGTATGAGGCCACTCATGGGAATGTTGTAAAGTAGTCTGATTCATAAAGACACAGTGGTTGCCAGAGGTTAAGGGGAGGGAGTCATGATGACACTGTTTAAGAGGCATAAGATTTGTCAGGTAGGAAGGTAAGTTTTAGAGACAGATGGAGATAATGGTTGCAAAACAATGTGAACATACTTAATGCCATGGAAGGGATACTACAACATGGTTGAAAGGCATACTTAAATGGTCACGTAGACTATCACAATTGAAAATACAAGCAATGGCTAAATTTCCTAGCTCTTTGATCAAAGAACCTAAGTCTTCAGATGGTCTATTTGTATGCAGATAGAATATTGAAAACCCAATTGGCCTTTGCAAGTGATCCTTCATGACCACCAGGGCTGAATTTCAAAGACCTTTACAACATTTAAGAGGAAACCCTGGGTGAGTGGAGGAAGACAATAAGTAGAATCCCCCCCGCAGGCCACCGCATATTCCTGACAACACTCCCTGCAGTTCCCCTTACCTGAACCCCAGCCTTTCTGCAGGTTTCAATGACATTCTTGGTGCCAGTGAAATTCACCCTATAAAAGAGTTCCTTGTTGTTACTGGATGGTGGTGGTGATGCACAGTGGAAAACTGTGCTAACACCTTTCAGAGCTGGGTACAGGTCCTAGAAAAGCAAACAGAGACAAAAGAATCACTCTACCTTTGGGCAGGTCAACAGTCTTCTCATATTTTCACTCTCCAATCTATCGCTAGTAGGTCCCTTGCTGACTCAAAATTCTATAAACACAGAAACATACTCTTATAAAAGAGTCAAGCAATACAGAAATACATGGACAGAAACCAAGTTTTTGTTGGTCATAGGGCTTGAACTCAGGGCCTGTCCCTAAGCTCTTTTGCACAAGGTGAGCACTCTACCACTTTAAGCCACAGCACCACTTCCGGTTTTCTAGTGGTTAATTAGAGATGGGAGTCTTACACAGTTTCCTGCCCAGGCCGCCTTTGAACTTTGATCCTCAGATCTCAGCCTCCTGAGTAGCGAGGATTACAGGTGTGAGCCTCCAGCGCCTAGCAATTTAATTGATTTTAATTGTCCCTGCCCCATTAACTAGTCCCCAATAGAAATGGGTTTGGAGTATGAGAAGCCTGTGATATAGATGGATGCAATATCCCTCTACATGTTCAGGGGATCTAGCAGACAAAACTCCCACCTGAGGAAGGTGAATTCATAGACATATAGCTTCCATGAAAAAGTCTCACACCATTCAAAACACTGTAACAAGCAATGCAGACATGTAGTTCTACCTGTGAAGCCAGACAACATAGCAACCCAAAAGGGACTTAAAAGCAGGTATATTTAATTTGCTAATAAAAGGGAACCCTCCTGGGGGAAATGGCTAGTTGCAGATTGGAGGCAGGAAATACACAAGATACACAGCACAATCATGTAATATGAGAAGGTAAGGAAGTTTGCCAAGCTACTGGACATATGATAAGAGAGCCTCAAACCAACATGAAGAAGCTTCTGCTGGTCAAGAAGGGACAATATGATCATCAATAAAAATGAGAATTATTTAGGTGGGTGCTGGTGGCTCATGCCGTAATCCAGCTATTGAAGAGGCTGAGATCTGAGGATCATGGTTCAAAGCTAGCCTGGGCAAGGATGTCTATGAGACTCAATTTCAATAAACTACCAAAAAGCCGGAAGTGGAGATGTGGCTCAAGTGGTATAGCAGTAGCCTTAAGCAGTAAAGCTCAGGGGCAGTGACAGACCCTGAGTTTAAGCCCCACTACTGGCACGTGCATACACAAAACAGTAAGAGTTATTTATGAAACGGTGGCTGAAGTGTAGCTCAAGGACAAGGCCTTGAGTTCAAGCCTTGGTACTGCAAAAAAATATTTTTGTGTGTGTGTGAAACACGTAAGTAAAGGGAAAAATCAACCATTGGATCTGGGTCAGTTACAAAGATCTGAGTAACGGAAGACAGAGTGACAGCATGCCACCATTTTTCCAAATCTTAATGAAGGAATGAATTCTAGGTCTGCCTCATAGTTTTCACCAGAATACGACAATTACAGATCATATGCCTTGCTTTACCATTGGCATTTTTGTCTCAATTTCCTTTCTCAGTACACACACAATTCATGTAGAAACCACTCGAGTCGGGTGCAGGCCTCATGTATGTGCCCTGAAATTCTTTACCTGGCTCTTTAGAACAAAGATGTTCTTTCAAATAACCAGAAAACAATGAACACAGAGAAGATCCCAACACATTGGATAATCTCATCCAACAATTACTCTAGTCTCAAGTTTCTCTCTCTTGACAATGTACTTTACAGTCATTTTTATTTTGGGGGGGAGGAGTCTCATATCCCATCACCTATTACATTCTGTATTTGGCCCTTCTGTTTCTTCCATCTCTCTTAATCTGGAAGAATTTCCTATGTTTCTTTTTCTGTCTTTGCCAAAGGGTCAGGTTGGCTACTTTACAGTCTGTCCATTAATTTGCATTTGTCTATTTCTTTATGATTCCATTAAGACATAATTGTTTGGGCAGGAATTGCACAGTAGTGTAGTATGTTGTCAGGACATGCAAACCTTGGGTGGCACAGGTTTGTTCTATTGTTGGCAATGCTGTTGGATCATTTGACAAAAGGCTGAAAGAATCCGGCCACCCAAAAATTACCTTTCCTCCTTGTATCATACTGATGCTCCCTGCCTGGACACTGCACAGCATGCTGGTGGCAAACGAGGGCATTCATCTTTTAGTATATACCCTTTATATTCATTAGTTGGCATTCTTCTGCAAAGTACAGTTTCCTTTTACCTGAAATGTTCATTTCTTTCTTTTCTTTTTTTTTGGTTGGTCATGGAACTTGAACTCAGGGCCTGGGCACTGTCCCTGAGCTTTTTCATTCAAGGTTAGCCCTCTACCACTTTGAGCCAGAACACCACTTCCAATTTTCTGGTGGTTCATTGGAGCAGAACAATGAGGGAAAGGCGGGAGGAGTGAAGTCTGACAGGCACATCATGCCTGCGATATGCATTATGTACGCCTTTATCACTTGCTCTAAATGGATTAGGCTGACACTGAAGGCTTCTGCACAGAGAAGTGAAGAAGGGATCTAATTTCTGCATTAAAAGGATGCCTCTAACAGTGACAGATGATGGTGGGTTAGACCAGGTGGCCGAATCAAAGGGGAAAGAAGTTGGTGGACTAAGAGCAGAGTCAGCAGTAGTCTACTGATAAACGAGATGGAAGGGATGAGAGAAAGGACTTCAGGATGAATCTAAGGGAAAGACACTAGGCCATTTATGGACATGAGAAGATTAGAGGAATGAGCTAAGCTTGCTGTGCTAGGGGAGGAGGACGTGGCAGGGAGCTGGGTAAGCAGAAATGCCTGTGAGATATCCTGGCTGAGATAGTTAGAGGAGGGTATGAGAGCCATGTGTTACGCAGAGACAGCTGGGGACTTAGAAGCTTCTAGACAGTACTTAATCTATGATCAGGAAGGGCTCACCATGAAAGTGACTGTAGTTGGGGAAGAAAAGGAGGTTAAAAAAAGCCTAGGGCCTATGAAAGTTAGCAGTGACAGAGAAAAGGAACTTGAGGAGGGGCAATCCTGAGGTTGGAAGAGAAATGACTAAGTATTACATCCTAGGAGACCAGTGAGGAAATCCAGAGACTGAAAACAGAAGGGGGATGTCAGGAATTGGAAGAGACATGGGAGGAGGAGTGAGAGAGGGAAGAGAGAGAGACTGAGGGAGAGAGGGAGGGAGAGAGGAGAGAAAGGAAAAAGAGGGAGGGAGGGAGAAAGGGAAGGAGGGGGGAACAGGAAGTAGATGGGAAAAAAAGATTTTCTTTTGGGGTTATAAAAATGTTATAGAATTAGACAGTGAGAGATGTTTGCATAGCTCTGTGGATATACTGAAAAATACTATACTGCATGCTTAAAATTGTTTTGAAATTTATGGTTTGTGAATTAGATCTCAATTAAAAGGAACTGGATACCCTATGCCTCAGCACCAGAGTGTTCCACAGCAGTGGATGGAACATTCTAGCCCATGACATGTGTAGCAAAACCTTCCTGGTAAGGCTTTCTTGACACCCAGCCCCTTCAGCTCACTAAGGCATGGACAGTAGCTGTTATAGCCCTCCTATGACATTTGGTGTCCCCCCCCACACCTCCCCTCACACATACACACACATACATATTCATTGGGAGTAATGAAAATGTTGTGTGTGTTGTTTCCCATAACTTTTAACACTCTTAAAAGGAGGTTTGTTTTTCAGGCACTAAAATTGTCACATGGTTTCAGTATCTGACCCCAGAGCACAGAAGTGCTTGGGAAGATCAGAAAGGCTGCAGGGGCCATTACCTGTTGGCTGCAGAGGTCACCCAAAAAGAAGCGCACACGGGGATTGTCAAATCCTTGGCGAATATCGAAGACATTCACAGTATAGCCTCTTGCCAGCAACTGCTCCACCATGTGCTGTCCCAGGAACCCAGAGCCTCCTATCACTGTACACTTCTTCACCTGTGGAAAGAGATGGATGGCAAGAGGACCAGTGGGATGAGAATCAGAAGCTATAAACTGCCCAGGCTCACACAGCACGAGCCACTGAGACAAGGGCAGGCACGTTTGCTTGTCTGAAACAGCCTGATACCACGACCTTTCTTGGGATCAACAAGGTGGGACAAGAGAATGAACTAACATATATTTGTTGGGTTTGATGGTCCAATCCATGCTTTGGATCCAGCACAAGTGAATTAAACCACCTATAAATGTGATCCTTGGATGCTTTTCTCAGGCAAAAACTACAACAACAAAACCCAAAACATACACCCTCACAAAAACAAAGACGATAGCTCCCCCTCAACAACAACAACAAAACAATAAACTAAACCAATGCCATTTGAGAATGTGCCCAAAGCAGGCAAGAGAAACTGACAAGGACAGAACACCAGACTGGAACCAGGTAGGCACACGCAGGAATGGGTTACTGTGGGGAAGCTATAAAAAGAAAGGAAGACATGAAGAGCAATGAATTTAATTGCAATATAATCTTGAGATAAAGAGAATGATCAAGGCCACTGGGTATTATCCAATCCTTTTCATTTTACTTTGTTTTTAGCAGGCCTATTGTTTTCAGAAAAATTTTATACGGAATATGTATAAAAGACAAAAGTGCTCTTTTTTTTAGTACTTTAAGTTTAGAACTCATTTCCTACAAAGTCAATCAGTGAAAAAAAAGAGGCTATTCTGAAAAAGATAAAAATTTGAAATTTGGTGACAATGGTAGTTTGGTATGATCTTTTTTCTGCTTGCCAAATAGCAACAAAACTTACATTACCTAAATGGAACTGCAAGTGGTAAGTGGCTTGAGCTAGAGGCCCAGAAGAGACCTTTCTCTGAGCTCCACATGAAGAACTAGCTGATCTGTAATCACATTTTTTTTTGTGTGTGCTGGTCCTGGAGCATGAACTCAGGGTCTGGGGGCTGTTATTGGGCATTCTTGCTAAAGGCTAGCATTCTACCAATTGAGCCATAGCTCCATTTCTACCTTTTTTGCTGGTTAATTAGAGATACTTTCCTGCCTGAGCTTGCTTTGAACCATGATCCTCACATCTTAGCTTCCTAATGTCAGTTGTAAGACTTGAACTCAGGGTCTGGGCACAGTCCTTGAGCTGTTTTGCTCAATGTTAGCACTCTACCACCTTGAGTCACAGTGCCTCTTCTGATTTTTTTTTCCTTTCTTTCTTTTTGCCAGTACTGGGGCTTGAACTCAGGGCCTGGGCACTGTCCTTGAGCCTCTCTGTGCTCAAACAACACCACTTCTGGGCTTTTCTGTTTATGTGGTATTGAGGAATCGAACCCAGGGCTTCATGCATACTAGGGAAGCATTCTACCACTAAGCCACATTCCTAGCCTGGTTTCTGATTTTCTGGTGGTTAATTGGAGATAAGAGTCTCATGTACTTTCCTGCTTTGGCTGGCTTGGATTCCCAATCCTCAGCTCTCAGATTCTTGAGTAGCTAGGACCATAGGCATGAGCCACTGGTGCTCAGCAACATGATCACTTTTTGAAAGTGTAACATTCATTAAAAGTTAATTTAAATAAACACCTCACCTGCATATCTATGTGAAGACACACTAGGAGGCCTGACTGGGCTCAGTAGTTCCTTCAAGTCCTTTCTAAGACTTGCAACACCAGGCAGATCTTAGGAAGCCTAGTGCTTGCTACTGCCTCCCTCTGGAAAAGTTTCTGCCAATCTACCAGGAAGCCTAGGGTACTCTATTGGAGACGCTATGAAGACAAAGAGCTGTATCATGACAGCCCAACTACTATTTCCAGAAGTATGTGTGAGTCCTGGGGTCCTGTGACTGGAGCTACGAGTGAGCCAGAGGAGACCAGTGGCCAGTCCCCCAGCTGTGCCCAGCCTAAACTGCAGTCAGGACCAAAGAAATTATTGTTTAAAAATTTAGGGCCTCCCAGTTGCTCAGCTGGCACTCTACCACTTGAGCCATGCCTCCACTCTGGCTTTGAGTGGTTGAAATAAGAGTCTCACAGACTTTTCTGCCTGGGATAGCTTCCAACTGTGATCCTCCAGATTTTAGCCTCTTGAGTAGCTATTTAGATTACAGGTATAAGCCATGAGCTCCCGGCTGGATGTTCTTTTAAACCATTGCATTGTGATGTTGTTTGCTATGCAGGAATAAGTAACTGATATATCTTAAATAAACATACTCAGAATTGACTAATTTAGTAAATGTATTAAATATATTTTTTGGTGTCAGGTTTTGAGCTTGGGGACTTATATTTCTTGCTTGGCTTTCTTGCTCATAGTTGGAACTGTATCACTTGAGCCACACGGCCAGTCTGGCATTTTTTTCTGATTAATTGGAGATAGAGTATAATAGATCTGTTTTACTGAGCTGGCTTCAAATCATGATCTTCCAGTACTCAACCCCCTGAGTAGTTACAGGAGAGCCACCAGTAGGCGGCTTTAAGTACATTCTTAGTATACCGGTCAATGTCAATGGCTTGCTAATATATATGGGCCTGACTTCCTCCTACCTGATTTTTGCTAACCTTTTTCATGGCAGTACTCACTTTGAGAATATCCTCTGTCAGAAGAGTCTGTGCCCCTCGGTCTCTGATTGGCTCACCAACTGCTTGTTCCATTGTGGTTCCAAGTATGGCTTTATGCAATCAACTTTTCTTCCTAAAGGCAGGGTTAGAGACAGACACTAGTGTTACATCTTTAGCTGTTAGTGTTTAGGCAGGTGCTGAATTTTCTTTTTCTTTTTTTATTTTTTTGGGGGGGGGTCCAGTCGTGGGGCCTGAACTCTGGGCCTGGGCGCTGTCCCTCAGCTCTTCAGCTCAAGGCTAGCACTCTACCACTTGACCCACAGCGCCACTTCTGGCTTTTTTCTTTTTGCTTATGTGGTGCTGAGGAATCGTACCCAGGGCCTCAGGCATGCAAGGCAAGTGCTCTACCACTAAGCCACCTTCCCAGCCCTAGGTGCTGAATTTTCACAGATAGCTGAATCATAGCTGGAGCTGGTGGCTGAATCATGTTCCTGTGAGGGAGGCCATGGCTGGGCCCATAACTCATCATAGACCTGGATTAGAGGCAAATTGGAAAGCAGTCAAATAACCTCATTTACCAGTTGCAACAAGAACGTTGTTTGAATTACAGCTTTTTCTATGACACTTACATGTCTCAATTATTCTGTCTCTTGGGGTGGTCATTAGATGGTACACAGGCCAGGAGTCCAGAGTTTAAGGGTCTACCCCTTTCATGAACTGTAAAAAGCTACTCCAGTAATTTATTAGAGATAAGAATCTCATGGACTTTCTTGCCCAGGCTGGCTTCAAACTATGATCCTCAGATCTTAGCCTTCTGAGTAGCTAGGATAATAGGTGAGCCACAAGCTACTGCTTAAGAGAACAGATGGCTACTACAATATTAAATGGGGATCAATATCACTAATCCTGAGGGAAATGTAAATCAAAAGCACAATGAGAGAATGTTTCACATCCATTACGAGGGCTACTATCTGGAGCCAAGAGGCAGAAAATAGCACATATTGGGAGAGGGTATGGAGAAATTGGAATCTCTGTGTCCTGTCAATGGTAATGTAAAATCCTGCAGCCCCTGTGGAAATGTGGTAGGTCCTCAAAAATGAAGCAAAGAATTACCATGTTACCAAATTCACTTGTGAGTATATATCCCCCCAAATGGAAAGTAAAGAGTTGGAACATACATTTATGCATTTATAAATGTGCATAGCAGCAAAATTTTCTTTTTCTGTTGGTCATGGGGCTTGAACTCTGGGCCTGGGCGCTGTCCCTCAGCTCTTCAACTCAAGGCAAGTGATCTACCACTTGAGCCACAGCGCCACATCCAGTTTTCTGGTTGTTTATTGGAGATAAGAGTCTCATGGACTTTCCTGCCCGGGCTGGCTTTGAGCCGTAATCCTCAGAGCTCAGCCTCCTGAATAGCTAGGATTACAGGTGTGAGCCACCAGTGCCTGGCTAGCAGCAATAATTTCTATAGTCAAAAGGTGAAAGCAACCTGGCTGTCCATTGATGGACAAATGGATAAACAAAATCCATTAGCTACCCTGATGGATGTCCTTCCATCTTAAGATCAAAGGATGAACATTGAGAACATCATGCTAAACAAAAAGCACCAGCCACCAAAGAACAATACTAAGTGTGCTCATATGGGGAACCCTTATTGAAAGATCAAATTCAGAGACTGAGATAAGCATCTGGTGGGAGGTGGGAGGGGAATGACCACTGATGGGCACAGACTTAGTTTTGCAGGATGAAAAGAGCTCGGAGTTGAATGGTGGTGATGGTTGTACCACAATGGGAAGGCGCTGCCACTCCAGTAAACTGTGGTTAAAATGGTACATATTCTGTGATGTCACTTTTGCCAAGTATATACATTAGAATAAAGGATCTCAGAATGATTAAGAAAAATACCCTAAAAAGGGGGCGGTGAATTGTGAAGGTTTACAGAGCAGAGGCCTCAGATCTGCTTCCTTTAGAATGTGAGTCTTCAGATCTTTAAAAACCAGGATGTGCACTTACCATCTCATTGTGATAATGTTCTAGGCTAGGAAAAGAGACCTAGCTCATACTGGTGACATTCACCTGCCTTACTCCCTTTGGCTCCTGATAGGATTCCATGAAGACAAGTGAGGGAGCCCAATCTGATTTCTGCTGAGAAAGTTCTGGACTACTTACTCCTAGATATAGAAGAAAGGCCATAAGCAGAAAACGCATAGGGAGAGCAGGATCCCTAAGTTCAAGCCCCAATACCAGAAATAGAAAAAGAAGTGCAGAGGAGGCAGCGAGTGTGAGCTCATGGCCAGAGTTGATCTGCCTTTAAAAAAAAAGAAACAAATGGAGCTGAGCGCCAGTGGCTCATACCTGTCATCCTAGCTACTCAGAAGGCTGAGATCTGAGGATGGCAGTTCAAAGCCAGCCCAGGCAGGAAAGTCCGTGAGACTCTTATCTCCAATAGATCACTCAGAAAACCAGAAGTGGCGCTGTGGCTCAAGTGGTAGAGCGCTAGCCTTGAGCTGAAGAACTGAGGGATAGCACCCAGGCCAGAGTTCAGGCCCCACAACTGATTAAAAACAAAAACAAATGGACAAACGCACGTCTACAAAAGACTCAGCTGATGGAGTTGGGAAAGCAGAGTTTCATTACTACCACTGGGTGTGGAATTCCGATATGGAGAACTGAGCTGGGAACCTCCAGGAGTTACTTTATACCAGCATATATTTTCACATACATTTACTGGAGAAAATACTGCAAAGCAGGAACCTTGTAAAAAAGAAATAAACTGCCAGGCAAACAAAACAAGCAACAAAAAGAAAATGAGTGAACGCCTCTGTTTTCAGTATGCAAACATCTGATAAAGGGGAGGAAGCATGGATTAGGATCAGTGGTTAAGATGGCATTTGTCTTCAGAAGTCTCAGGTGACCCAGTACTACACTGGGACAATCCAGGGACCTGAGATGACCTTATATTTCAGTGCAGTTAGTCTCTCTGTTCATTTCCTTTGAGAACTCAGAATGCCTAGTTTTGAATTTACTCAGGAACCTTCAGCATGGCTGTGATCTCAGCTCCTACTGTACCCTCTCCACAGTGAACTTCCCATTATCCTTCAAAGCCTAGCTTAACTGCCCTCTGTGCGCAGGCCCACTAGCTAGGAAAGATGAGCTGCTTCCTTGGTACCTACCTGCTCATAATGTGTTCATCCTAGGTTTCAATGGCTCTCTATTGGATTACTCTATTGCATCTGGTTAACACACAAGTAGAAAATAGCCACTGATTACCCAGAGCTGCTGTGAGGCTAAATCAAGCCCCCAGGGGTAAAAGCAGAGCTATAACTTGTAAAAGAACATGTGAGCGTTCATTCATTCATTCTTGCATTCACAAGCTACCAAAAGTCAGCTAGGCAAAAATCAAATAGAGCAGCAGGGCCTTCAAGGAGCCCACCCTACTGTGAGGGATCCAGGGAGTTACAAGGAATCAAAAGTGTTTGGTCACCAAGAAGAATAAGCCTGCAGAATATAGGTAGGCAGGTGGGTCGGGTGAGGTGGGAAGAATGAGTTGGTGGCATAGAGCCAGCATGTTTTGGAAGTTGTATCACTACAAGTGTGGAGCAAGACTGGGAGCAAAGTTGACAACATGAAGGGACTATATACCCCTGGAAATCACAGGTTGTGGCAGAGTGCCACAGATCATCCTGGCTATAGTGTGAAGAGATGGATTGTAGGCCTGAGACAGCCAGAAGGGGAAATGACCATCATAAACCAGAGAAAAGTACTAGTATTGTTTGAAGAGCTGCTAAATGTCAGGCCTTTCTAAATAGTACATATCCCATTAGGGTTCAAAAAGTATTCAATTAGGTAGACAGTTCTGATCTCACTTAATAAATAAGAAATAGGCTCAGAGAGGTCAAAGCAATGGCTCAGGGTCACATAGTTGGCACATACCCTATGCAGAGTTTGCATTTGTTATACCTACTGTCAGGCTGCTGCCCTGCTGATTGGGAAGCAAGGCGTGGTTAAGCAACTTTCCACCTGAGACAACCAATACTAAAAGAGGACTGGTTTATTTTGGCTCATGGTTTTAGAAGTTTTGGTTCATGATTACTTGGTCCTGATCTTTGGGTCTGTGGTGATAACAGTATATAATGCTGGGAGCATGTAGTGCAGGAAGCTGGCTGTTCAGTTCATGGTGGCCAGTAAGCAAAAGAAAAACGAGACTGAGTCCCATAATTCTCTTTTTTTTTTGCCAGTCCTGGGGCTTGAACTCAGGGCCTGAGCTTCTTTTTGCTCAAGGCTAACACTCTACCACTTGAGCCACAGTGTCACTTCCAGCTTTTTCTGTGTATGTGGTAGTGAGGAATGGAACCCAGGGCTTCACGCATGCTAGGCAAGCACTCTATCACTAAGCCACATTCCCAGCCCTCATAATTCTTTTGAGCATGTTTCCCATGGCCTAACTTCTGTCCACTAAGGCCCCGCCCCTAAAGATTGTACAATCATCTTATAGCACTACAGGTTGGAGGCCAAACCTTCAATAGATTGGCCTTTGAAAGACAATTAAGAGCCAAACTACAGTACAGGATATGGAGACAGGAAGTCAGTAGGGTTAGCAGGCATGATCCTAGGCAGGAAGTTCATATGAACTTTACACTATAATCAGGACACTGACTATAAGCAGAACACTGACTTCACCAGAGTTGCTCATGAGGTGGATTAGCCTGGTAGATCAGGGCTGAGTACAGAGGTGAATGGTGGGAAAGTGGAGGACTAATGAGCAGTCATTCAGCCAAAGTTTACTAAGCAACTAACCTGTTCCTCTGGAGCATTAGAAATAAAGTAAAGGAAGATTCTTCTCCTGCAACAAAGAACAAAACACACCAGTTTCTGGTGGCTCAGCTTTTAATCCCAGCGTCTCAGAAGCCTGAGGTCTGCAGATCATAGTTCAAAGCTAGCGTGGGAAAGAAAATCCATGAGACTCTTATTTCCAACTAACCAGCAAAATTCTAGAAGTGGAGGTGTGGTCCAAATAGTATAGTGACAACCTTGAGGGAGGGGGCTAAGGTAATGTCCAGTAGCTGCAGGGGACAAAGAGGAGAGGAGAGAGAGAAGAGGGAGAGAGGGAGACAGGGAGAGGGGAAGGGGAGGAGAGGGAGAGGGAGAGGGAGAGAGAGAGAGAGAGAGAGAGAGAGAAAGAGAGAGAGAGAGAGAGAGAGAGAGAGAGAGAGAGAGAGAGAGAGAGAGAGAGAGAGAGAGAGATGACAGCAGCTTTGGAACTGGGTTCACTGCTTTAAGAGGAAGGAGCAAAGGGGAAAAGTTCCATTTATGGAGTGCTAATATGTCCCAGCCTTCCCACAGCCTGAAAAACTTGGGCTAAATTTTTGCCCCTAAACTTGAAGGGCAGCAGATGATGGAGGACCCTGGATGTTCAGGTCCACGAGGGGGTTGCAATTTAGCCCACAACCTTTTAATTCCCGAAGCACATCACTTCCAAAATTCGACTAAGTATGTACAGGAGGGGACTGTTCTTTTTTCTGGGTCAAACGTTTAGATGTCAAGCTGTATTCTGATGACCTCTCGACCCTCCATGCTAGCTGTCAGTCCTTTCATTTCCAAGAACCCCAGCTCTCCACCCAGGCTGCCTAGGCTCACGTGAGACCTCAAGGGATTTTTTTCTTAAAGGGATACGTTTCAAAGAAAAAGCGTCATCTGAATCTGCTCTCTGTAGGTGGGAGACAACTCTACACCCCCTTTTTCCCCTGCAGGGTCTGAGCTGTCCTTGAGAACAGCCCTGGTCACATCTTTTCTGGCCCCTCCCTCATCCGTCAGACGTAGGTTATCCCACCCAACCCTTCTCCCAGGCCTGTTGCCGATACAAAGTGGCTTCCAAGGGTGAGACAGTGACTCTTACCTGTCTGTAGATATCCTACAGGCCAGCCTCAGCTTGCTTGGAGCTAGTCCACAGTGCGCTACAGATCCGGAGCCTCCCTTTTCTCCGCGCCGGTGTGAGCCGAGAATCAGCCGAGCTTTCTCCAGCAAGGGGATTGGCCAAGTTCGGAGCCGGTTCAACCAATCAATGTTTTTATCGTGACCTCGTCCAATAAAGGCAGGCCTCGGTCGTCACCGCACCGCCCTCTGCCCCCGCGATCCGGCTTTGCAAGGTTAGCACCACCCACTTCTGTCTTAAACCAATGGCAGCGGGGCCGCACGCGCGCGGGGCAGTGGGAAAAGCGCCAGTCAGCGTGTACGCGGTTGCCGTAACAACCGGCTGCAGATTCCTTCGGCCATGGTGAGTGCTGGGTTCCCTCTTGCTCTCTGCGCGGCGATCCTGAGCTCTAGAGGCTCCAATGCAGTCATGCCTTCTTTCCCTGCGTCTTTATCGGCTTTGGCTTGCCAAACCTTCCTTTGGGCTCTATCCCGGAAGGGGAGGGTAGAAACTACAGACTCCAAACACTCTTCTGGGCCTACACTGAGCCACTGTCTTCCGTATACCCACAGTCTATCCCCCAGCGGTCCCTCGGACTCTCCTGGCCTACCCAACCCCCTCGCAGAAGACTTAAGTTCCCCTTAGGCCGTGATCCCACTGAGATCCTGGCCTCTGGGCTGCCTCCCTCTGCCTTAAGTTTTCGTACAGAGCTGGGAGGGAGTTTTTTGTTTTTTTTTTTATGTTCTGTGGTTAAGTGTATTTTGCAATTTACATACGGTCACTTACGAGATGCTTTAAACTTAATGGAGAAGACTTGAGGGCACTAAACAGATCGGGTTTTATTCCTTGATGCTGACTTACCTGTCAGTAGCTTTTGGCCACGTTTTAAACTAATTGGAAAGTCAGATTTCTTTATGGTAAATAGAACACGGAGTGGGCGTTGCAAGGACTTTTCCAGAACTGGAAGAGTTGTTCTCTCCAGTTATCTACAATTGGTCCCGTGGCTAGCTCTCCTCCGCGATGCTTTTCAAAAACAGTAAGGGATCCCCTTGTTTCTGAAAACAATCATTTAAAAAATCCAGAGAATCGAGATTTGTGGACTCATTGTAAAACCTGCTATCCCTCTTGTTTAGCAAACATTTGAAATTACTATGCATTCTTCTAAAAATACATATGGATGTTGGTAACTCATATAAAATATGGACTAGGGGCTGGGAATGTGGCTTAGTAGTAGAGTGCTTGCCTTTGCATGCATGATGCCCTGGGTTCGATTCCTCACTACCACATAAACAGAAAAAGCCAGAAGTGGCGTTGTGGCTCAACGGGTAGAATGATAGCCTTGAGCAAAAGAAGCTCAGGGACAGTGCCCACGCCTAGAATTCAAGCCCCAGGACTGGGTAAATAAATAAATAAATAAGGACTATATTAGGTTATTTTCTCCTCATATGTTTGTATTATGTCAAAAGGCTTCCAATTTTAAGAAGACAAACGTGACATCAAGTGCCCAGCGTAAAAGGATGAGTCCCAAACCAGAGCTTACTGAAGAGCAAAAACAGGAAATCCGGGAAGCCTTCGATCTCTTTGATGCTGATGGAACTGGTACCATTGATGTTAAAGAACTAAAGGCAAGCTATACACATTCCTACTCTACTGCCTTTCCTTTCCTCTGTCTTTTCCTTGTCTTCCTGCACTGTTCTCACTCTCCTCCCTGTAGAAAGTAACCATGGGACAGGTACTATGCTGTTCTCCTGTCTTTACTTACCTCAGAGTATTAAACTGGATTACAAGCACCAAATTCGATCAGTGTTAGGGCATTCCCCACCTGTTGTTTTTTTTTTTTTATCATTTTATCAGATTCTGGGTTTATATCCTCCATGGTCACCTTTACTCCTACTTGAATTACATGTACTTATCAAGAGGGATATGTTTTCATTGTAGGTGGCAATGAGGGCTCTTGGTTTTGAGCCCAAGAAAGAAGAAATAAAGAAAATGATAAGTGAAATTGATAAAGAAGGGACAGGAAAAATGAACTTCAGTGACTTCTTGACTGTGATGACTCAGAAAATGGTAAGTTAGCAAAGTGAGCACAGATGTGACTGATGAGCTGCAAGCTGTAATGCCTCAGTATAGAACTCAGAATTGCTCACAGTAGTTCTCTGCAATTAAATAAGTAAGCCAGGCACTGGTAACTGGTAATCCTAGCTACTTAGGAGACTGAGATCTGAGGATCACAGTGTGAAGCCAATGTGGACAGAATAGTTGGTGAGACTCTAATCTCCAGTTACCTAGTAAAAAGCTGGAAGTGGAAGTTGTGGCTTTTTTCCAGCCAGAAGTAAAAAGTGAAGGGAAAGCTGGAGGCCCTAAATTTAAGCCCCAGTACTGGTATATACACAAAAAAGGAAAACACCTGCTCTGTTCCCTCCCTGCTTCCTCTCTGCTCAAACAGGATCCCAGCTTCATCCACTTAAATGTGTATTTTCCCCAATTATAACTCTGCCTACTTTTCTATATTATACAAAATTCCACTATCTTTTTGTTTTATATAGTCTTTTAGACAGAGCCCTTCATTTTTTCTTTTTTGATGGTTATTGTAAAGGTGATATACAGAGGGATTACAGTTACATAAGTCAGGTCATGAGTACATTTCTTTTTGGACAGTGTCACCCCTTCTCTCACTCTCTCCCAGTTTTTTCCCTCCCACCTTACCCACAAATTGTCATTTTCAACATAGTGTCCAGTGAGTACCACTGCTGCATTTGTTCACCCTTTGTCCCTCCATTTCTGTGCCCATAGTTCCTGATTAACCTCTGAGTTTGCATAATTTTGACTTTGACCTCCTATTCTACCATGGATGATATTTGCTCTCCTGTGACCTATATCATGACGGCCATCACTGAGACTGTGTGCTGATAGAGGACTGGGGATATGATAGGGAGTACATCCAAGAAAGTAATTCTTCTGTATGTCCCTTCTTGGCTTCAGAACTAGGGAAATTTCTGAATAAGAGAAAGAGATAGAGAGGCAGCTAGTGGACACACCTAGTAATACCTAATAATACTTAGTGATATCTAATGCTGCACACTAAAAAGCAAAACCCTGGTTTGCCATGATGCAGTAGTTGCAAGAGGCCTGCCTTTCCCCCATGGTACTTTGGTCCACCCCCCCCCCCCAAAAAAAAAAATGAGCCCTCATTCTTATTTCTAAACACTGAATGCTTATGCATCAAGCACATACCTGTTCCCCCTGGATAGGGATAGTCAGTAGAGAGGGAAAAAATGTTAGAATGGAGTGGACAACCTGACTTACCAGGCTTCTGAACATTTGTCCTAGTCTACACCTGAGGTACCCGTTGACAATGAGAGGATGGAGGGATTGGAGTGGGAGGAGCCACTGTAGGCCATGAGTAACTGCTGTTCACTACTCAGGATTTTTGTGTTTCACTTGTTCAAGTGTGAGAAAGATACTAAAGAAGAAATCCTGAAAGCTTTCAAGTTGTTTGATGACGATGAAACTGGGAAGATATCTTTCAAAAATCTGAAGCGGGTGGCCAAGGAGTTGGGTGAAAACCTGACTGATGAGGAGCTGCAGGTCTGTAATGCCTTGATGTACAGCTCAGAATTCTTGCCTTTGAGCTTTTGTGAATTACACTTTCTCTACTGACAGTGTCTCTTTGAAGGAAAGCTACAGTCCACTTGTCCTTCAGCTGACAGTTCTGTTTTGTGAGACATACAAACCTAAGCCCTGCTTCCAGAAAAATGCATAAATTTGCAAATGAACTTATTTGAGGTTTCAGAAATCCCTCTTGTTAAAGTGATTTGGGGGCTTGCTTCAAATTGATCTGTATGACATGGTTTACGCTAATTTTTCTGGAAGTGAGCTATTATAAAAGGTGGCAGATCCACATTTGGTGAACTATAATCATCTCTCCACGTAGCATTTTTAGATGCTTATTCCATAATCATCTTTTAGTTTAGTTTGTGAATTAATCTAAGCTTAATCCTTACTGTCATCCAGGAAATGATTGATGAAGCTGACCGGGATGGAGATGGAGAGGTCAATGAGCAAGAATTCCTACGCATTATGAAAAAGACCAGCCTCTATTAAGATCAGTGTCTTCTTTTCTATCACAAGCACGTGTGCCTGCCATTGTGTGAAATCTGGCTTTTGACAACCTAATCTCCCCGCTCCAGACTTTACTGTACAACTTTAGCTATGACCTTAAATGTCTTTTAGCCTTTTGAAAGTATTCTTTGATATTAAGGTTCTTTGTAAAACGACCTGCTGATTTTTAAAAGCAGAAAGCAAGCACATTCAAGTGGAGAAAAGGGTCTCGAAGTTTGACCACTTGCCATTTCACCTGCATTGCTTCACTCTTGTCATGCCTTTCCACACGGATGCAGCCACAGCATACCTGAGACAAGCACATAGACAGTGTCACCCCAAACAGTGGTCATTTTTCAGTGGTTCTGGTTTTTAATTGATACCTGACTGCAGTTTTGTCTTTTATAAAATAGCGTGAATTCTTGCTATGGTATTTGGGTGTGTTGATGTTATTTATCCTGTCTTAAAAATAAAAACTTCTGTAGTTTAAGCTTTAGTTATCGAAGGCTGAGTATTCTTCTTCTGTTTGTTTTTGTGCCAGTACTGGGGCTTGAACTTAGGACCATGGTGTTGTCTCTTAGTTTTTTTGCTTAAGACTGATGTTTTATCCATGAGCCAGAGATTCGCTTCCAGCTTTTTGCTGGCAACTTGGAGATGAGAGTCTCAGAGTGTTTGCTTCCTGGGATGGCTTTAAACTGGGCTCAAATCTCAGCCTCCTGAGTTGCAAGGATTACAGGTGTGAGCCACTGGCTCCTGTCTTTTAAGGCCAAGTCTTTTTAGCTTTGACTTTGAATTCATCTTCTTAATAGTTGAGATCTCAGCCTCCTGAGTAACTAGGCTTAGGCATGAGCCACCAGCAACTGGCTTTTAAGGCTGAATTTTCTTTTATCCTTGACTTTGAATTCATCTAAATAGTTGTTTTTGTTTTTGCCAGTCCTGAGGCTTGAACTGGGCACTGTCCCTGACC